TGTGCAGCCAGAATTATCCCCTCTGACTCTTTCTTCAACTTTCCAGCTCTTAGCCATTGCCAAGTCTTGTTGTCATTTGCTTTGCCTCCTGGTTGCTTTATGCACTGCCTACATAATACTTTGCCTTGCTTTGTCTCTTTTCTATTCTTCATTTTGTTTTTCTTACAGGCCATTTTAAACTTTTCAGTATTCAGTAAACATCCATGGTGTACTAGCTTCAGTGTACCTTCTTCACAATCCTTCAGATATTATTTCAACACTCTTTTTTCACATCTTTCTATCCAGAGTTTTTAATTCTGCTTGAATCCAGTCCCCTAGTCCAGCTGTGTATCTAATGACTGGAATTTCCCAGGTGTTAATTGCCTTAATGGTACTTCCTCCAATGAGTTTGGACTTTTAAGATCTTCATTTTCATTATGTATTCATTACTAACTTTCTAGATTTTGGTGTGCCTGATGTTGATATTTGATTAGGAGTTGCCCAGAGTTTGTTAAAAGATGGGAAGCTATCTAAATGTTTTAAATCAGGGATCTCCAAATTTGGCAACTTTAAGACTTGTGGACTTCAACCCCCAGAATTCCTCACTCCATTCACGGAGTTGAAATCTAAATGTCTTAAAGTTGCCAAGTTTGGAGACCCCTGTTTTGAAGGAATGAATGAGCAAATGAATATTGTCAACTTGAAGGATACCGAAGTATATATAGTGGTCTTCTTCATCCAGACTCTTGATGTTGCTTCCATAGATATTTTGATTATTTTAGTTTTCATTATTTTTCATGTAAAGGGTGCACAAATGTCCAGTTCAGATTCCATGCCATGGCTTCATATATAGACAGTGTTGAATAGTGATTCCAGATGATATCTTTCCATTTAGTTTCAGATCATCCACATAAAGAAGATGGGATAACCTGGCAGATGCTTTTGATATTTGATAGCTATGGCTTGGATTTACCTGATTGTGTTGCTCTATGTCTATTGACCTAGGTATCTAATTTTATGTAATACATTCTACCTCCTCTGCATTTATGAAATAACAGCAGAAATGTAGATACCCCATTTCTGATACATTAGAACAGGTTTGTGCTGATTAGTCATAGTCAAATGTAAAAGAGGATCTGAAACTAACAATATTATTTTATGCTCAGGGTATACTACATATTTTCAAATCTGATGGCTCCAAATCTGATCACAATTGGAATTTTAAGAAGCCATATATATATATATTTAGAAATAATTACAATCAACTTACAATCAATAAAATTATCATTTTATTTTACATTTTAGCCATTAATGAACCTAGCCTGATAATGTTTTTTTTAAAAAAACTGGTAATTGATGTTGATAGTTATTATTGATTAATTGGTAATATTTATGTTGTTATTTTTGATATACAGATAGTCCTTTACTTACAACAATAATTGGGATGAGAATCTCAATTGTTTAACAAAATGGTCATTAAGCAAAATGCAATATGACTGCTTCGCTCAGTGACTGCAATCCTGGCACTCTCGGTTCCAGATCATTAAGCAAATTGAAAAAAATGCCTACTGAAAAATTTCAGCTCTGCGTTCCCCAACAATTTCTGCCTATTCCAGGTTCTTGAGAAGGATTCAGTAGGTGGACAAGAATGCCAAATCTGCCTGACTGTGCAACCACCCATAATAAAACAACATCAGTTGCTTTTCTGAGTTAAATTTTTGTGTCTACAAATTCAAACACAAAAATTATAATTTGCTATAGCAATAGTTTATCAAAGAAAAGAACAGAGGTGCCTGAGGCACTTTATTTCAGATAAACTATAAAAATGCATCTGAATTCTCATGTTACTTATACCATTATTTTCAACTGACCTTTAAATAAAACTATATAGGGTTTTTGTAACAGCTCCTTGGAAAAATTTACCATATAACTGAAGTCAGTTAAAGATGCAGTCATGTGCCCATTTATCTAGGAGTAATTCCACCTAAACTAAATGAGAACAGACACATATAAGATTATACTGAAAATAGATCTGAATATATGCAAGCTATGGTATGACCCACATCTTTCATGACATTTTTATTTTTCACTTCTATTGTAGTTAACCCTTGGAATGCACATTTTATTATACGTTATAAAATATATCTCACCTGACTTATCTATACTTATAAAATAGAATCCTTTTCTTTATGACTATTTGGCTTCAATTTAGCCTCACATATGCTGTATGAAGGGCACCTACAGGACCATACTACTGATGCCTTGACCCTTGACGTGAACTTTCCTAACCTTCCCATAATTCCAACTTTATAGGTCTACCTGCAGAATGGAATTAACAAGTAAAAAAGGATTTCAATTATTGGTTGACATAACTAATAACCTGCCCACAGAATTACGCTCTTCCAGCATATGGTCAGTTATTAGTTGATTAATATGTGTGGGATACTGGATGAAATGCTGCAGTGTGGGTATTGTTCCAAGTCATTGTGGATCTTGGACTAAAAACAGACCAGGATAGAACTCAAACTCTGGATATAGAAAATCAAATTGAATTTAATTGAATCCACTCTAAAATTAACTAGGCAACCAGCTGAATAGTTTCTTGGTCAACTTGACAGCCTAATCATCCTTATGCTTTTACATCTTACATCTTTCCTTTGGCAGTTCTAAAATCTGACCTTGAAGTGTGGAAGAGTTGAACTGATGGCTCCTGTTCTTCTCTACTATGACTCTGACAAATATTTTTATAACAGGTTGATAACTACATTTATTAATCATTTCCTGGGTAATCAGGTGAATACTGTGTTTATTTTTTTGTCTGACATGTTTATTATACACATTATGTTTCAATGGTTATTGGAAAATTCACCTATAATTAATAGGATAATATTTTTTCCTATTTTAGTTAGCAATCTACAAGCAGGCAGTATAAGTCATAAAGGCAGTTGGTTTGATATTTTTTAAAAGAGTTTCTATATTCCTTCCATCTCTAAATGTAAACTGTCATGTTTTAGTTGTTATAGTTTATTTGTTTTATTGTCATTTATAAATAAAGTGGACTGAAAAATAGGCATTAAAATATTAGGGCAATTTCTGTGGCAGCCACTAGCACACGGGTCAGCAACCTGTGGCTCTGGAGCCGCATGTGGCTCTTTGAGCCTTCCCCTGTGGCTCCCAGCCTTCTCTGCCATTTGCAGAGAGAGACAGAGACAGAGAGAGGCACTTGCGCTTCCCTGCTTCTCTCTCTGTCTCTCTCTCTCTCTCTCTCTCTCTCTCTCTCTCTGTGTGTGTGTGTAAAAGAGAGCACACTCACAGTGTTCTCCAAGAAACTGAAAAGCTTATTGGGCGGAGCTCCTCCCTTTGTTGTGTCTCTGCAGGAAGCAGGAAGGGCAGGAGAGAGCTAGCTAGCCCAGCTATGCTGACTCAGGAATTCTGGGAGTTGAAGTCCATGAGTCATAAAAGAGCTGAGGTTGCCTGCTCCTGAGCTTGTTGGAGAACAGCTTGAAGGCAGCTTGCCAGGTGAGCAGCAGATAGGAGAGAGGGAGGGGGGGAGAGAGAGAGGGGGAGAGAAGAGAGAGAGAGAGAGAGAGAGGAAAGAAAGAAAGAGAGTGGGGGGAAGAGGACTGGCAGACCAAGGGCAGATAGAGAGAGGGAGGGAGAGAGACAGAGACAGAGACAGAGAGTCAGAGAGCCTTTTGACATCTAAAATAAAGATAACACTGCATATATCTTTTTTTACCCGTGTGTGTATGTGTACACACACCTATAATAAAGATAAAAAATGATATATGCAGTGTTTTCTTCATTTTAGATATCAAAAGGGTTTTGCGGCTCCCGGTGTTTTGTTTTTGGTAGGAAACAGGTCCAAGTGGCTCTTTGAGTGTTTTGGATTGCCTACCCCTGCACTAACAGATGTATCATTTGGCTAAATATCAGATTAAAAATGTATTTGTCTTTTATTTTTTTCCCCATTTACATCACATTTATATCCCAAGGTGCCGCCATTTCTGTTATTATAGCTTCATTTTTATAGGAGCAAATAATATTTTTTTTAATTGTAACCCTACAATAATCAATGGATTAATACTTTGCTCACTGAATTGGGGCCAATGCTTTACAGACATTAAGGCAAACAGTGCAAGTTCTGCATTGTACTAATAAGCTTACTAAAGGAGGAGCTTGATAAAAGATAATTAGTGTAAGGCATGGCTATGTTCCAATTTCATCTAATGAAAAAAAATCAATTTTATTTAGGAGAATGAGTTTGAAGCTGCATGCTGTTTAAGGTAACAGCATTATAAAATATCTCTCTTGTTAAGCCTTCTCAATATATTAGAACTGTTTACACAAACAGATACAGAGATTTGCATTCTCCTGATTCTTCAAAACATACATCTCGATTAAGATAAGAATCAGTGTCCCAATTCATTACTTTTTCAACTAAACTCAAGTCGTTTGCTTAATAGAGTGTCAAAATATTAGAATATTTACAATATATTCATTTAAATATTAGAATATTTAAATGCTCTATTAAGCAAGCTGCTTAGTTGAAAAAGCAATGAATTAGAACACTGCTTCTTTAGAATATTATTACTATTCTATTATTTAAAATATTTAGAATATTTTAAATGCTTTAAAGGCACTTATTTGAAATAATGAGATAATTCCCTGGGATTTTTTTCCAAGTTTTTTTCTTGTTCTTTTTCTGGGAGAGGGTAGAAATTTTAAATGTAATATGGAAATGTGTTGTTTTGCTCCCTTATTTTATTTTATCCTTTCTCCCCACATTGGAAGTAATAATTAATCCTGCCAAGCAGCCTATTTCCGCTGTATTTCTGATTGAGATTAATTAAGGGATTATATCAGATGATTTGGTTTCATTCTATTTAAAACGAGCAAACAAAAGATTATCTTTTCCATTAAGCAGTTATGTATATGGCATAAATATGTATTTTAGTGCTGCTTTGGACAAAGTTCTAGCAGAATGAATATTTTATTACATGTATATCTGTGTTTTACAGCTGCACTCCAATTCCGACAAAGGTGATGGATCAGTCAAATACATTCTTACTGGTGAAGGGGCTGGGACTATCTTTATTATTGATGACACAACGGGAGACATCCATTCAACCAAAAGCCTAGATCGAGAAAAGAAGACACACTATGTGCTACATGCCCAAGCTATTGACAGATGGACAAACAAACCACTTGAGCCTGAATCTGAGTTTATTATCAAAGTACAAGATATCAATGACAATGCACCCAAATTTACAGATGGACCATATATCGTTACTGTGCCAGAGATGTCTGATATGGGTAAGAAGAAGAATCAAAAATAGTGTGATATACTGTTGGTTTGACATTTGGTAGGGGGTTTGCTTTGTTTTCTTGAGATATTAGAGTGTACACCTTGGATTATTTTAGCTGTTTGTGTCACCAGTAAATCTGAAAAAAAAAAGAATAACTCCCCTTCCTCTTCACTGACTTCACTAGATTGCTGGGTGGTTGTTGTTTTTTTTCCCTAATAAGGCTGTAGTATATTATTACAGTTGTATAATAACATTTAAGTGGGTCATTTTCTTCTGACTTCATGAACATGCTGGAAAATAACATGACTCCTCAATGTTTAATATTTTAATATTTACCTTAGTCTCTGACATTTGATTGAAAAGGAACATAGGTTGCAGGGCTAGAAAATCCTCTCTAACTTTAGAAAGAAGTTTCTGATTCGGGAAACTGATCAAGTCCTTATCAGTTATTAGCAATACTGATTGAAGCAACGTCTGAAGTTTTACAAGTTACTGTATCTTACCCTGAACTAGACTGATAATCTACCCTGGTACAAAACAGCTTCATGTTTTCCAACTACTATGCTGAAAACTAGAGGTTGGAAAAGGAAATCAGTATAGAGGCAGTGAGATCCATGACAACATAAAAAAGGGAGGTGTGTGATTAGGGGTGACACGATCACAGTGTTTCAATTTCTAAGGGGCTGCCACAAAGGGGGGTCAAGCTATTCTCCAGAGCACCTGAAGGCAGGACAAGAAGCAATGGATGGAAACTAATCAAGGAAAGAACCAACCTAGAACTAAGGAGAAAATTGCTGACAATTAGAAGAATTAATCAGTGGAACAACTTGCCTCCAGAAATTGTGGGTACTCTAACACTGGAAGTTTTTTAAAAAAAGATTAGACAGCCATATATCAGAAATAGTATAAGATTGGAGAGGGTTGGATGAGAAGATCTCCCAGGTCCCTTCCAACGCTGTAATTCTGAATTACATCTTAGCATATGAAATCTGCTGAATGATGCAATTTGCTTTTGATAAGAAAATCAGTTCATTTTGTTATAAACATTAAGGGCGACCAATTTGGATTGCAGATTATACAACCATCATATGAACTCAATATTACCCAGCAACATGATAAAAGAGAATATGATACCAAAATAGAGTGTTTTTTTCTTATATTATCAGCTTCTAGGTATGCTGAAGTAGCTAATAGTGGTAATCCAGTGAAATGGCATTAAATATTTGAATTACCTATCGTCAGATTGGCTGTGGGGAACACAGGGAGAAGCAAGTGTGCAGTAAAATAATATGGATGCCAGCATGATATTTTTTTGTTTTTTCCCTAAAGTTTAAGATAACAAACATACATTTGTGTACACACACACATACAAATGCACACCTAGTTTACTGAAAGCCAATTGTGTCAGGATCATAGGGGCTGAATTGGCAGGCAAATAGAATTATAAGATCACAAGCACAAAACAGTATAACGTAAATCATTAAGCAAAAATGTAATAATAATAGTAGTGCCCAAAACATGAATAAAATCAAACGAGAGCTAGCAGCAGTATATCCCTATTAGACTTTTCTGCCTAAGGTGTTTTATTTATACAGTATGAGCAGTAGAGCACATTTTGGCTACCGATAGTAGTAATTATAGTGTAATATTCTAATTTGATAAACAGCTATAATGGCATATGAAAGATCGTTGCCACTACATATCTTATCATAGGATCTGAGATGTTCAGGTTTACATTAGGACCTAAACCAGGGGTAAGCAGCATGGCTGGCTCAGGAATTCTGGGAGTTGAAGTCCACGAGTCATAAAAGAGCCAAGGTTGCCTACCCCTGACCTAAACTATACAAATTATGCTGCATTATCTTTAATGTCTTACTTTATATGCCTATAATGATTGTAGACATAATACAATTAATCCTCATTTAGTAGCCACAATTAGGACTGGCAACTTGGTTATTAAATGAAATGGTCACTAAGTGAAACTGTGACAATACTTACCAACTTATTTCAACTTTCTTTTGCTTTGCAGATCCGCAAAGGTTGTAAATGTGCAAAGTTACTTTTTGTCACAATTGCAAACAGGCAGTAAATGAGGCAGTTGCTAAATGAGAACTCCCTGTATTAGCATCCTACGTAGTATTCTTAACGGCATTCAGCAAACTCCCGATGACAGTAGAGAGTGTTAATTGGAAACCTAAGTAACAAATCAAGGATGAAGTGAAGTGAGAAGAGAATACAGAGTTGCTAAGTACTGCTGTGTGTGTCCCACTTGTCACCCTTATAATTCATTTCTTTGGACTGAAAATGTGCAATGTGTGATCCTGTATGACCCTGAAATAATTTTAATTTATAATGGAACTTGAAAGGAAAACCTTTTTCTTAGTATTCGCCTTTTCTGTCTACACAAACTTTGATTCTCACAATTACTTCTGCCTTTTCGGCCACTCATTATCTATTTAGTAAGGAGGCTGTTGAAGAGCTTTTCAATGTCATCCTCAAAATCAAGAGCCTGTATACTGCCACTTTCTCCTGCTCTCAGCAAAGGGTCATGTAAACTTTTTTTCTCATAGTCCTGCTTCAGAATCATCACCTTTTTATTTTCCTTCTTTCTCCCTGTTAAGAAATGATAACAACACTGGTTTTTTTTCTCCCCCTTTTGGTGAAGAGCTGCTGTAAAAGATATCTGTTTACAAATTAGACATGAAAATAATGCACTACTTATTATATGGTAAATAGACTCCAAACATAATGTTCAATTATTGTCTTCTCTTTTAATTGTGACAGGGAAGAAGATTCACGTTTTAACTTGAGCTTTATTTTTAGATGCTTCTGTAAAAGAATCTTGGTTTGCATGGAAAAGTCTCAGAGTCAGTCCCTGCTATTAACACTGTGGACCAGGAAATCTTCAGCGCTAAAAACCTGGAAAAAACTTGCTGAAATCCATGATTGATTGATCAATTAATCGACTTCCGTTGTTTTGCCACTCCTAGTAACCACAGTGATTTTTTTCATGACAATCTATCATTTTTTTTATTTAAAAAGTTTTATTAATAATTAACAAAATAATCCACCCATCCCCACCCCCCCTACCCCCACCCCACTTCCCAGAGCCAAATACAGGGTATTACAAGCATATTAAACACAATCTAATTAAATTTAACAAATATATTAAACATAATCTAATTAAATTTAACAATTTATATAACAATTAAAATCATACTTAACCCTTAATTCCCTTTAAACCTTAATAACATATTATAAACAAATCCATTTGTAAGCAATTATTATATAAACAATTATTATAAAAAATAATACTTATTATTTTTTCTTTTTTAAAGATTTAATCATAAAATAAATGGAACTTTTTAGTTCCATATTTAATCTGAATATAATCTAGACATCTTCTCCATACCATAATATATCTTTCTTGTGTATGATCTTTTAAATAAGCAGAAATTTTAGCCATTTCTGCTAAATTAGAAACCTTAAGTGTCCATTCTTCTAATGTAGGCAACGAATCTTTCTTCCAATATTGACCTATCAATAACCTTGCTGCTGTAATTAAATTCAACATTAAAATAGTTTCTTTAACATCAAAATCCTCAAAAATCTCTAATAAAAATAGTTGAGGAGTAAACTTTATCTTCCTTTTAAAAAATATTTTGAATGTTCCACCAAATCATAATCCAAAAAGCCTTAATATTTTTACAAGTCCACCAAATATGAAAATAGGTTGCATCAGAACTACCACATCTCCAACATTTAGGCTGTAAATTAGGATACATACAAGACAACTTTTTAGGATCCAAATGCCACCTTTTATAAACATTTTATAAAAATTTTCCCTTAAATTTTGAGCCTGTGTAAATTTAACATTTCTGGTCCAAATTATCTCCCATAAATCCAATGGGATCTGTTCCTGAATATTCTGAGCCCATTTAACCATACAATCTTTAACCAATTCCGTTTCCGAATCCAATTCTATTAACGCATTATAAATTCTTTTTATAAGAGCCTTATTCTGATCTTTAATCTGAATTACCAAATTTTCATCTCCTGATGTTATTCCAACTTTCTTATCTAAAGTCCACCTATCCACTATTTGTAAATATTGAAACCATGACTGTAAAATATTTTCTTGCCTTAATACATCTAAAGATTTTAACTGCCAATCATTATCTAACCAAATAAGTAATTCAATGTGGCCTTTTATCCAGCTACCTTGTTGCTGGTCATGCTCTTCTCTTTCACCTTTTCCAGCATCAGAGCAGTTTCCATATAAAATAGTATCATTTGATTCTGGTCACTTCTTTTTAATGAGCCATTTATTTCTTTTCTTGTCTGTCCACAGTATTCACATGAGTCTTCTCCATCATCAAGGTTCAAAAGCATCGATACTTCTTCTAACCTGATTCTTCAATTACAATGTTTCCTTCTATTGTACATCACAGGCAATATCATGGCTTGCAATTTTAATCTCTAAAAGGGATAAAGACATCATAGCATTTAAAGATTTTTCTGAAGTTTTTGGTGCTTTCTGAATTTGATTGTTTCCTTGAAGATGTTTCATTACTGGACTAGGCAATATCTTCAGTACTAGAAATAACTGGAGTTTGTTCTCTGTTTATAATCGGTAGCATGCCCTGTCAGTGTTGGTGGGGATGTTTTCTTCTTGGTAGTTCTATGATTAGGCTGTTTATTGCTTGATTATTTGTCTGGGTTGATAGTTCCTTAATTAGGGTATTGTTTAGTTCTTGATTGTTTCTCTTGTGTTAATCCTGATATTAATTTCTGCCTATCTGAGTAATGATTGCTGGTAAGGAGAAGTTCTGATCTTTTTATTTCTTTTTTAGCTTTGTTATTGCCTCTTTTGGTATGTAAATGTTGTTTATATCTATGGGCCTCTTGATGGCTGACTTTTCTGAGTGCCAAGGTTACAGGAATCCCTTACGATTTTTGGATTTAGCTGGGTTTAGGATGCTTACAGTTTCCCAGTTGAAATTATGG